TTGGGAGGGTGGAGGGACAGCACAGGAGGGGAAGACCCTCTATGAGGTGGATTGATTTAGTGACTGGGGTAATCGGGATGGGTGTGTCAGAGGCAGCGCGATTGGCACAGGATAGAGCAGGGTTTAGGGCTGTTGTACATAGGGTTGCTATGAGTCGCAAGCGACTCAACGGCACATAACAACAACAACATGCTAAGTATTAATAATGAGAACCACAAGACGTCCTCATGGTGCACTGGTTAAAGCACTTGGGTGCTAACTGAGCAGACAGCAGACATATTTCTTCTTTTTTCTAGAAGTTCATGGCATATTGTAGTCTTTTCCAATGCCATGATTCAAATGCACCAATTCTCCTTTAGTCTTAATTGTTCAATGTCTAGCTTTCTCTTGCATATGAAAAACTCAAAACTCACTGCCATCAGATGTTAAGGCTGTAGATGGGATCTTTTCTGGCAATACTAATGTTGCATTCAAATGACTAGTGACTCATGGCTTTCAAGGTAAGCAGGGCAACTCACTCTTGGTCCTACCAGAGTTCCCTATGTATGTGGTACAGTAGCAACCTATCCACAGCTGACCCTCTAATGGGTTTGTGTGCAAAGAGATTGCTCATCCTTCTCCAGTAGAGCAGCTGGTGGATTTGAACCATATGCCTTTGAGTTTGCAGGGCAGCTTCTTACTTCTGTTGTTGTTCTTATATGCTGTCTAGTCAACCGCAACTCATAATGACCCTATATACAATGGCTCAGAACCCTGCCCAATTCTGAGCCAGTCTCACTGTCTCCTACTCACCTACCCCCATTACCCTGCTTACTGTGTCAATCAATCTCATCTAGGATCTTCTACCCTTCCAAGCATGATGTCTTTTTCCAAGGAATAGTGTCTCCTGGCCATATGCCCAAAGTATGTGAAACGGAGCTTCAAAATCCTTGCCTTCAAGGAACAAATTCATTTGACCCTCTCTAGGACAGATCTCTGGGAGCAGGAGCGGCATCCACTTCCGAAATGGCTTGCCTCCGGAAACTCTATGTACGAACAGTGCTCAGGCCGTTCATTCATAGGGTCGCTATAAGTCGTCTATGATTCGATGACATCAAACAACAACAGGACAGATCTGTTTGTTCTCTTTGCAATCCAGAATATGTGCAATTCTCTTCTCTAGCACCACAACTCAAAGGCATTGATTCTTCTTCTATCATCCTTAGTCATTCTCCAGCTCTCTGATACATAGCAAGTAATTGGTAAGACCTTGGCCTGGATCAGGTGCACCTTAGTGTCTAGATGGACATCGTTGCTCTTCAGCACCTCTTAGAGGTCTCTGACAACAGATTTACTTAATGCAATGTGTCTTTTGCTTTCCTGACTGCTGGTGCCAAGAATGTTGATTGTGAAGCCGAGCAAGCCAAAATTGCTAACAATCGCGATCTCTTCTCCATCTATCATGGTGATGCCGATTGACCCAGTGGTAACATTTAATTTCTTAACTGCTGCTTGTATGGCTGTGGGTTATGAATCCAAGTAAAATGAAATCTTTAACAATACTCAATATTTTTTCCACTTATCATCATGTTTATTGACCCAATTCCGAGGATTTTTCTTTTATGTTGAAGTGTAATCCATGTTGTAGTATTTGATTTTCATCAGTAAGTAATTCAAATCCTATTCATTTTCGATATACAAGCTTGCATCATCTATGTATCACAGGTTCTTAATGAGTCTTCTGGCAATATTGGTGCCACATTCTTCTTCATAATAGGACAGATTATCAGATTGTTTTCTTGTTTTAATTAAATTTTGTTAATTTTAATGAACATTTACCGAGATTTTGGGTATGTGCATTGTTGCACTGATTATCAGATTATTTTCTCAGCATACAGATTAGGTATATATTGAAAGGATATGACTCTGGCATATATCTTTCTTGTTTTTAAATGATATAGCACCCCTTATTTTGTTCAAATGACTGTCTCTTAGTCTATATACACATTCCTTATGAGCACAATTAAATATTCTAGAGTTCTTACTCTTTGAAACCCACACAGTCTTTGCATAGTTAATAAAACACAGGTATATTTTTCTGGTATTTTCTACTTTCAGCTAAGCCCTGTCTAGCTACCATTACTAAGGATATCTATCTATTGTTCCAAGTCCTTTTCTGAATCTGGCTTCAATTTCTTGCAGTTTTCCGTCAATAATGTACTTTTCTAACCATGTTTGCATTATCTTCAGCAAAACCTACTTGTTATTGTTATGTATCATCGAGTGGGAGCCGACTCATAGTTGATCTTCTAGTGTGTTTTCTAATGGAATGGGAGATTGCCCATCTTTCTCCAGCAGACCATCTGGTGGATTCGAACCACGTGCCTCTGGATGGGCATCGCAGTTCTTATCATTAAGAAACGAGCGCTCCCAGTTTAGGTCCCCTTAAATTAAAAAAAAAAAAAATGAGACCCCGGGACAGACTGTATTCAGCCAGACAAGCGTGCTGAGTCGGAATTTATATGAGGGGTGGGAGCCCTCGGGACACTGGAGCAAGGACTGCACCCCGTGAACTGCCTTATAAACTCCAGGGCAGGGTCTGGGGCGCCGTGTCACCCTCTTTAGGCTTAATGCTGAGATGGCACTCCAAGGCGGCTGACTTGAAAGCACTCTCATTAAAAGGTCAGCGTCATTAGGATGATGAACCAGTTGGTGTTTGGAGGTCCGAAATGGGATGAAAGGCGCTGGTTGAAGACGCCCTGCGTTCCCCTGGCTTGGTTGGGTAGGGCTCTAGAAGCCGATGAAAGCTGGAGAACTGGGCTCAAAGTGTCTCTTCTTGTCTTTCCAGGGAGGAAGCTCTGGCCACTCTCCAGGGTCGGAAAGGTAGTATTGTGGGCTTTTAATCTCCAGAACCCTGGTTAGACGATCCTTTCTTTACCAAACCCAGAGTTCTCTGAGTCTTTTTGGGAGACTCTCTAATATTGGAAGTTGTCATGGGGACAAGATCCCTGAAACCCTAAGGGAAGTGAGGGACTAGTAGGGTAACAACCTCTTGCACCCCCCCCTTCCGACCCAAGGGCAAAGTGGCGCCCCCTACGCACAGAAATCGTCCCTGGGCCCCCGCCTCCGGGCGGAGACCTCAGTGGACCTCCGGAGCCGGAAGGCCGCTCTGGCCCCAAGCCGACTCTCTCGCTGGTAGACGGGCCCGAGGGAGCCCCTCTGGGCGCACCGCAGAGGAGCGGCTCGATGCTCCGGCCGGAAGTGCTCTTCACCGCCCGCCTCCCACCCGGCTCTCTGGTCTCGGCGGTAAGATGGCGGCTGCCGCGGAGTGCGATGTGGTAATGGCGGCGACCGAGGCAGAGCTGCTCGATAATGAAGAAGCGAAGAGGTAACCAGGTGCCAGGGTTGTGGAGGGGACGAGCTTCAGCTCCGTGACTCAGGGAAACCGGTCCCGGCCATGATGCGACCCCCAGCTGTTCAGGAGGATGCCCCGCCCTCTACGAAACACCACCACCACCCTCTTGCTTTTGAGTTTAGGTCCGGTTGGACCCCCTTATGGGGCGCTCAGGGGGTCGGCCTTCCCCTTCGGCTTCGCCCTGGCGGGAGAGTTGAGGCACGGCCTTGGCGCTGCATCTAGGAGGAAGGTGGTCGTACAGGTAGAGAGCCCAGGTCGCGGTGAGGATCTCAGGTTCTGTAGCCGAGTGGGGGAGGCGGCGAGCAGACGATGACGACTTCCTTACATCGCCCGGGACCCCCGCCTCCCCGGCGTTAACTTCTGTGCATTGTTTTCTGTGTGTGCTTTGCCTCTCCCAGACTCCCGTTCTGCTCACTGCCTTTCCCCGGTGACCACGTCCCAGTGACCACTAGCCTGAGTCCACTGTGATTTCGTGTGTGTCCCTGATCCTGACCGGTCAGCTCTGATAGGGGGGATGATAAAGGAGAACGAGCGAAGGGACTTGTCTCATGCTCATCACGACAAACTCTCCTCCCTCTTATCGTTCCCGAATCAGATCCTCGCTCCTCCCGGGACTGAATCGTCCCTTAGATTAAGCAGCAGAGGAGGAGGGCAACTGTGTGGGTCCAGTTGGCACCGTGGGGCAGCTGCAGTGACTCGAGATTGCCAGACCGGACTAGTCGAGGAGCTGCTGATTTTGCAGAACGTTCTGGATTCAGGCTACAGCAGAGGCAGGTTGTTGGAAGTGGAGTTGAAACACAGTTTGGGGTAATCTTACTTGTTACAGGCCCTAAAATAGAATTCACAGAAACGTTCTGGAATGTAAAGCCCTTTCCCGTGTGGCTTGCAAACCGTTTTCATCCTTTATTCGCGATTGAATACATACAACACCCTCAGTCTCCTTCCCACATATTTCATCTCTGTATTAAAGCCCATCCTGGCTTCAGCCTGGGTGATTTAAGGTGGAATCTAGAATTAATTCTGAAATCTGCAACAAGTTAGAAACATATGAAGAAATCAGTGAAGCAGAATTAATAGTATCAGTTTAAGGGGAGTGACCAAGGCCAGTGCCTCCAGTTCCTGACTTGTTGGGAGCTGAGAGGCCAGACATTTAGCCCTCAGTGAAGGCAGGATGCCAGAATCTAATTTTTTTGATGTTCTTAGTTTTTTTTTTAATTTTTTTATTACTTTTTTTGTGTGTGTGTACCGTCAAATCGGATCTGACTGGTACAGGAGGAGATTGTCCCTCCTTCCCCGGCAGAGCATCTGGTGGATTTGAACCGTGCGCCTCTGGGATTGCAGTGCAGCTTCTTGCCACCAGGCCACCAGAGCTCCCTGATGTTCTTAGTTTTGGGATTTTACATCTTTTCCTAGTTCGTTTTAGTGTCACTGACTCACATACCTCTTTAAGTAATTGCAAAATGTCAGGCAAACTACCCCCAACACAGAACGGAAGTGAACTGTAAAGATTAATTTGCACTTGAAAGAATCCTGTGGTTGGTTGTACCATAAGAGCTGTGCCAGTTTAAAAATTCATCCCTCAGTGTAAATCTCTAATGTAGGCTCTGTCTCTGGTTTACCTGTTCACTAACTGTTAATCTTTTTCTTGAAATCAGAGCTTACTTGACTATCTGCTGACCTTTTAGGAGGGTAAATAATCATGATCTATCAGCATCAGAAAGCCTTATTTGGGTATTACCATTTCTAATGGCTGAGAGTGAGAGTGTGCATTTAGAAGCTTTCCAGGACAATTTACATTTCTTTTGCATTTCCAGGAATTTGCACCCAAAGCAGAGGACCTGAGCAGGGTCCTTGTTTCCAGATGTCTTTTTACAATCTTACTTGGTTAGAGCCTTTTGGCCAGGTTCCTGTCTCTCGCTACAATCCTACTACCAGGTCACATGAGGATGCGGAAATTGATGGGTCCTTTGGGTTGTTTTTGTAAGATCCGACATGTGAGTGTGAGCTGGCATCCAGCAGCACGTCTTTTTTTCCTTGCATCTTGCTAAGGGGCATCCTGCTGTTGCAGCTAAGTTGTCACAGGGGCAAAATGCAAAGACTTTCCAGGACATCATGGCCACAGCATTTTAAATAACTGTATGCCTTATTTCCTCAGTTTTGGTGGCATCAGAAAAAGAAGTGGATGGCTTTTTTGGTTTTTTTTTCCTTTTGTCTGTCACTCTAACAAAGATCTTTTCCCTATAGCAGTTGAAAGGCTAAAAATAAAGACGTATTATTTGACACTCCAAAATTGATCAGAGTTCTGTGCATGAGGATTACTTGTTTCTCTTTGCTCACCAGAATAGGTAGAGCTGTCAAGGAGCCAGAGTGTTAAGTTTCAGAGGTTTTACCTTTACTCTGATTTAAAGTCTTAGCATTCCATTTGCTGACTACCTTATTTGTAAATAGTGACTGAAGTCACTGCTATCCTGTCTAGTTAATGGCCCTGATCATATCTTATGAGCTAGGGAGCTGCTTGGTAGTTTTTACTGTGTTACAGTTGAGGAATTAAAATTATACCTCAGTAGAGAAAATAGTCTGACTTAAATGCATCTAGCTGTATCTAGCAGTAACGGGACCAGTGCAAAAATACTGAAAGAACCAAGGCAAGGCATAGATTTAGGAGCCAGGACCTTGTTGTTAACCTAATTCTTTCAGCTGATCATCTTAACTCTGTTTTTCTGATGGAAGCAAGAACAATTATCATTCCTTTTATCAGAGTACTAGGAAATCGTTCTAGAGTAGGATTGTTCTTTTTCTTTCCCTACCCACATTACTGATAAGAAGAATCTATATCCTAAAGTCTGTAGTTGTTTGCCTGCTGCAGTTTAAAGATTTTGGAGTTAGTAGCCTTACATAACTGAAAAACTTGTGAGAATTCCTTTCCCTCCTCTTTCCTATTTTAAATATCTAGCAGTTTGTCTCCCCAGTCTTCATTTTGAAGTTCCAAGGCATGCAACTAGGTATTTTAATAAAGCTAAGAAGAATTTATCGGCGGTGCCTTCCGTCAGCCGAGAGTCGCAGCCAGGGCCCAAGCCTCCGGCCGCCGCGGAGCCATGGAGATCGGCACCGAGATCAGTCGCAAGATCCGGAGTGCCATTAAGGGGAAACTGCAAGAACTGGGAGCTTACGTGGATGAAGAACTTCCTGATTACATTATGGTGATGGTGGCCAACAAGAAAAGTCAGGACCAAATGACAGAGGACCTCTCCCTGTTCCTAGGGAACAA